AACCAGGCAGAGTATACAAGAGACGACACAGGGTCCATCAACAGTTGTCCCTCAGAACCAAACTGTTGTGAAACAACAAAACAACAGTTCCATAAAATCAACCGCGCCTGTTTCAACTCATCAGTCGACTCAATGTGTTGGACAGTTCAATAGAAACAAGACGAATCCTAAAGAGATCGGGGAAAACAGAGGAAACCCCAAGCCCAAAAAGGACAGCCGCAAAGTAAATCGGAAAACCACAGGTTTTCAGACGGGTGCTCCATCTGATGGTTTCAAGGCAGCTATATCTCGACTCGAGAAACAAGAAGTTAGAATTGAGAACTTGGCTCACCACATACAAAGGCAANCCCGCCACATGAAGAGACAACTCATTGAGATCCAGAAGCTCCACGCGTCCTAGGAGACCAACTTGGGCAGGACGCGCAACATGATAATCCACACTCCAGAGCCAGTTATCCCCAACACCGCTCAACGGATCGCCGCAGAGAAAACACCCATTCTGAGTGTGCTGCGCAACGCCGGTTGTCACCCCAAAATGACTTGGAGACGAGCACACATGCTGTGAAAATGGGTCCCACCAAAACAGGATGGCCTCCCTACCAGTCGACCGCTGCTCGTGGAACTCCACAGTGCAAAAGAAAGAAACTTTCTCCTATCTAAGGTGTCAGTCATCGCTAGCACAATGACTAACATCAAAATTGGGGAAGACAACTGCACCCGAAAAGCGGTCATCTCGGGTCCTCATTACCCCCTGGACACCCCGGCAGTAACCTCCGAGAAAATCCCTCAACAACTGCAAAGAACCCGGTCCGTTGACCACATTCGAAAAAACGGAGAACCTCCTACGAGGATTACTCCACCGATATAACGATCACCAAACAGCGCAACCACCCAAAGATCCTCTCCTGTGTGATGATGAACGTTTGCAACATCCTAAACAAGAAAGACGAGGTGACTCATACTCTCGGCACCGTTGATCTGTGCGTCCTCACGCAAACGTGGTTGCGCGAGAAAATCGAAGTCCTTGACTGGAGCCGCAATTTTCAGCATTACCGCTCCAACCGTATTAACTCGCTTGGTGGAGGTTCCTTGCTAATAGTGCGGCAAGTGATCCGTCAGTCAGCGATGCATTTCATGGCTAGCTCAACAAACATTCAATCAGCAGTTCGCCTTCTGCACGTTAATCCCCCCGTCATGGCCGTTTGGATCTATCGCAGCCAAAGCTCGTCACACCAAGAAGATGAGGAACTTCTTCAGGCCTTGATGAAGCTGCTAGATCAGGATATCGGCTCTTGATTCCAGGTGATTTCAACGCGCTTACTGTCAAATGGGCATACCAATTATGTTGCGAAACTGGATTTGATATGGCCCTGCTCAACACCATATCCGGTCTAACCCTGACGCAGCATGTGATGGTACGTACCAGGATAAGACCTGGACAAGCACCCTCTAATCTCGATCTCGTTCTAACGAGGAACAGCAATGAAGTCGTGGGAATAAGGACCGGAGTTCCTTTAGGCAAAAGCGACCACTCACCGGTGTTCTTCAAATTTCACCGAGTGGAAACCCCGAAGCCCAAAACTGGAACTCGAAGATTCCACAAGGTCAACATTGATGACTTCGTCAACGGAGCGGAGGGACTGTGCTGGGACAATCTGAGCTCCAGAAAGGACACCTGGAACCGAATGAGGGACAACATTGTACTCCTCACGGAAGTCTACGTTCCTGTGAGAGGAACGGGGATAAAGGGACACAAACCTTGGTTCCGCCCTAGAGTCCGCCCAGCGTTTAAGAGGAAACATCAGGCATGGATGGCGTTCAACAGGCAGCGAAGCCCCCTGCTCTTTGCTCGCTTTAAACGTCTCCGCAATAAAGCTATCAAATTAATACGGGAGGCTAGAGTCAAGTATGAACTAGCCATAGCCAACGAGGCCTCAAAAAACCCCAAAATATACTTCGGCTACGCTCAAGCGCGGTTCTCATCAAGAAAAGTTACCGGCAATGCCCTTCACATTAATGGACAACTCTTGACCACCGACAAGGAAATTGCCGACTCATTCCTCGCCTCGTTCCAAGTGGTCTTTCGCCTGGATAGCCTTAGCAGCTACCTTACCCTCGATCGAGTGAGCGACATGCCAGATCTGGTGATATCTTCACCGGACGTGGAGAGTCTTTAGGACTTAAAATCTCCAAATCCGCGGGTCCAGATAATATCCACCTAGCCATCATAAAACCGATAGAATCCTTAATGATCTCCCAACTAGTCACAATTTTCAACGACTCTCTGAACACGGGCCAGATTCCGGAGGACTGGAAACATGCCACAGTTGTCCCAATCTCAGAAGGGGGTAACCAATCAGATCCGTCCAACTATCGTCCGAGCAGTCTCACCAGCATCGTTGCTAATCTCCTGGAGCGTATTCTGCGAGAATACCTCTGCGCGCACCTTATTCAAATCTTTTTCTTTTGCAACGCCATCAAAGGCAGATCTTGTCTAACAAATTCTTTATGTTTCTTAGACGTAGTAACACCGAAATTAGATGAGGGAACGGAAATCGAAGTGTGCTATCTGGACTTCCAGAAAGCATTCGACTTAGTTAACCACAAGTCGTTAGATTTCAAGCTCCGAGAAACTGCGTTCAGTCCGAAAGTCTGTAACTGGGTTAGAGCGTTCTTGTCCGGGCGGACCTACAGGGTTCGTGTGGGAGATGTCTTTCGGAGGTGGGTTCCCCCGCGAGCGGGGTACCAAAAAGATGCATCCTAGCTCCCCTTCTCTTTCTAGTCTATGTCAACGACAAAACGTCAGGTTTGGAGAACCCATGCTTTTTGTATGCGGATGACATCCAATTAGTTGGAAGCCCGGAAGACAGGTACTCCTTGCAGAGTGATATCTTAAAAATACACAAGCGGTCGCAAAAATGGGACCTCCCACTCAACGCATCGAAGAGTTATCTGCTAGCCAAAATNAATAACGCATCCCGTCCCGCATCAGATCCTCACTACGGCCGGAGCATATGCAACCCTAGCTTACATATCAGAGGCAATGAACCTCGGAATAAGGGTCTGGAACACCTTTTCCCCGTCCTCTATCGCTGTGGCAGCAGCCTTAAAAGCCAGGCGAGCTCTGTTTAGACTCCGAACGGTTATCGCCAACCGTTGTCCTAGTGCATTCTTGCCCCTGTATGCAGCCATCGTAAGACCTCACCTCGAGTACTGTGTTCAGGCTTGGGCACCGTATCTTCAGAAGGACATCAAAGTTCTAGAAGACGTTCAGCAGCTAGCAACCCGGATGGTCTGGGGTCTAAAAGGACTCACTAGAACGCCGAACGGTTGAAGGGGGACCTCATTGAAGGGTACAAAGCTACCAGGAACATGGAGCAGTCCCCCATTGGACAACCTCATTGATGTACAAAGCTACCAGGAACATCAGCAGTCCCCCCATTGGACACCTGTTCACCGTGAGGGCCAAGAACATTCTCCGAAGGCACTGTTACACACTAGAGAGAACCAGGTGCAGGTTAGCAATTGGACATCACTTCTTTGCAGATGAAGTAGTCCCTCTATGGAGCAAACTACCAGCTCGAATAGTTGAATGCCCCACAATGAAGGATTTCAAACTAGAGCCGGACAAGGAGTGGTGTCTCTTATTCCCAAATCTGCCCTATGGATCAGGGTTCCTTTAGTTTACTGATGGAATGCATGTAATAGATACTGCGCCGTCTCACTTTCCCTTCTACCACCAGATAATACTCCCTCGTGGAGAGTCGGAAGAAGCTTGACACCCGCAGGCGAGTCGGTCCACGAAAGGAATCCGCCAGGCAACTCTACAGGCAAAAGCCTCCCTACGTTTTGTGATTTAAATTTACAAACATTGACGAACATTGACCTTGACCGCGCGTGCTTCGAATTTTGGAGTGGAGCATTCCGCTGTAGAAATAGGCCGACAATAAGAGGAGGAAACACTCGAGAGTCCAATTTTCTGTTGGAAAATTAGCGGAAGCGCAGTTTGTTCCGAGCCTTCAGCGCTGGATATCGGAACTCTGAATCTGTGAACCACACCTGAGCGGAACCTTGGTGGCAGGACCAACGTGACAAATTTCCGTCCAGGTGAGCAACTAGGCTACAACATTTACTGCCGAGGGTACTACCCAGAGTTACTTATCCTTGGTTTTTATCGATTTTGTGTAGGGTTTTCATCTTTACACACCCGTTTTTTACCGGACAGTCTTGAAGCGTATCTAGACAAGTGCCATGGTAGCTCAGAGAAATCCTCTTAAAGGGGCTACAAGAGCCAAGCAGGTTATTTCACCCTACCCGTGTGCCAGAAGAGGGTGTTTTCTCCAGGTGGTTGAGGACGTACGTTGTGATCTGTGCCAGGATTGGTTTCACCAACGGTGCAGTAAACTAACTTCCAAGACAGTTGAACAATACGCTGTCCACAAGTTTCAGAAATGGGTTTGTCCAAACAGCACCAGCTCTATCAGAATATCCAGGGCGAAAACACTGCATCCGAAAGGAAACTCTCCTTCACTGTTGGCAGTGCAAGCTCCTTCGTGTAACTGGAATGTTCCTGCTGAATTAACGTTCGAGAAGTTGAAATCCCTATTACTGGACTACATTCTCACAGTAGATTTTCAGGCCGCTGAACGGGCCAAATTCAACTCAATGATCAGAGCTGCCAACATACCATGCCGTGAGTTCATTCTCCAGTTGAACAAACAGGCGTCAAAATGCAACTATGGTGACCGATTGGAAGAACAACTTTGCGACCGTCTCATTCCTGAAATCAACAACATCCCATTACAACGTAAGATGTTGGAAAAGAAAGATATCACTCTTACTGAGGCTCGAAAAATCTGTGAGCAAAGTGACGATTTGTGTGCTGTCACAAATGCGGATACTCCTGTGTTATTCCATCGGCGATCAATGCTGTTCTAGCCCCGACTTCTGTGCGCATTCATGGGGTTACTGAGCATCAGTTGCAATTACTTGGTGAAACGATGTTGCGTGTTCAATCTGAATCCGGCGTATCAATCCCGATCCGATTCCTGGTATCAGCCCACGGTCCGTTTATTCTGGGCCTTCGAGCAGCGCGGCTACTACAAGGATCCATCACACTACACACCAACAACGATATGCCAATCAACTCACATCTTCAACATTTGATTGTACAATGTTTCGGTAACGTTGGTGGCATGAAAGTACCGTCGGTGAAGTTGGAAGTGGACGGTGAACCTGTTTTCCTAAAACGACGCGTCCTCCCATACGGTCAACAGAAAGGTGTCCTGAAAGCATTACAGAACATGGAGCAGGATGGTGTGATAAGTAAAGTTGAATCCAGTGCCTGGGCTACATCGATTGTCGTGGCGATGAAAAGTGATGGTAGGACACCACGGATCTGTAGAGACTATCGACTGACGTTGAATCACAGATTGCGGAGATGTGCAGCGACCACCGTGGAACCAGAGGATTTCATGAAGTCATTGCATGGGAGCCAGTATTTTTCCAAGATCGATTTGGCGGACGCACACCTACAGATTCCACTCGATGTCGAATTTCGCTACTTAACAACAATCAACACGCCGTGGGGAATGTATCAGTACAATTTTCTCCCATTCGGATTGTATGTGTAGTCTGGCCTCTTTTAATCGGCAATAGACAGTGTAATCAAAGGACCCGACGGTGTGCTTGCATATCAAGATGACGTCCTCATTTTTGGCCTTAGTAAGAAAGAACACGATGACCGTCTTAGGCAGCTACTGGAACGATTTGTCGCCAGAAACGTGGCTATCAGGCCGTCCAAATGTGTGTTTGGAGTGAGTGAGTTGAAGTTTCTACGATTCACAGCTGATTCCCGTGGATATCGTCCCGATCCGACACGTTTGAATTCATTGACCAACATCGAATCTCTAAAAGATCAAATGCATTTGAGATCGGTGATGGGATGCCTACAGTAATATTCCTGATTTATCCCGAACTTTGCTACAAGGGCGCAGCCGCTTTTCTGTGCTCAGTGTTCAGACGCTTGGGAATGGTCGGTGGAGTGTGAAGATATCATACATGGTTTAATTCACTGCGTTACTGATCGTCTTCTTCTCGCCCCGTTTTCACCTTCAAAACCGACCACACCCATCACCGATGTATCTGACGTTGGAATCGGTGCTGTATTAGAACAAGAAGGATGCCCAGTGATCTTCATTTCACGTCTACTCAATGCGGCAGAAAAGGGATACTCACAGATTCAAAAAGAATCGTTGGTTATGTTTTGGGCTGTTCGACGATTGCACAAGTACCTTTTCGGATTGCGGTTTACTATCATCACTAGTCACCACGCGCTGCAGTTCTTATTCAACCCCAACATATCCATCGCGAGTCCGCTACTACTATGCTACGGAGGTGTAGTATCGCTCTAGCCGCATATAACTATGACATCCAACATCGTCCAGGAAAGACAATCCCACAGGCTGATTCCCTCTCTCGCTACTCACGATTTTCTGAGGCCGAACAGTGTCATTTCATCTCTCCAGCATCACCAGTGTCTCGGGAATCTTTACGCAAATCTACTAAGCAGTACTACTCAGCCATACTCTCAGCGATCAAGAAAGGGTGGTTGCCAGAGGTGAAGAGAAAGTATCCGCAATTCTTTGCTCATCGACAGGAGTTGCCAGTACAATTGGATGGTGTATTATGTCGCGCCGATCGATTGGTAATCCCACCACGACTACGGAAGACGGCACTAGAAGAATTGCATAAAGGACATGTGGGGGTGGAGAAGATGAAATCATCATCGCCAGATGTGTTGGTGGCCGGAGTTGGACACAGAAATTTATGCAACAGCCAAGAACTGTGAGTCATGTTTACATAAATTACGAACAAGACCGAAAAACTGGACACCATGGCCGGAAAGTTATACACTATGGCAAAGGGTTCATTTGGATTTCTGTGGTCTATTTCTAAACCGGTACTACGCCCTTGTCCTGATCGATTCATACTCCAAATGGCCAGAGGTATTCTTTACGACTACGCCTACCACATCATTTGTGATACAAGTTCTCCGGAAATGTTTTAGTCGCGAAGGGATTCCACAAGTGCTTGTGTCGGACAATGGATCTCAGTTCTGTGCGACCGAAATGAAGCTTTGGATAGGCAGCATCCGTTGCCAACATCTTCAAACTGCGCCTCGTCACCCCTGTTCGAACGGAGCGGCAGAGAATCTAGTCAAAACTGTCAAGAGTGCAATTGCGTCTGCCAATCTTAAAACGCTACATGAGTTGGAAGCGTTGGTGGATAACTTTCTACTCCAATACCGAAACGCAACAAATACAACCACGAAGGACGGCCCGGCAATGCTTTTTAAATCCAGACGCTTACGATCCTCCCTACAGTGCCTCCACTCCAGTGACGTCGTATATATCCTTGGTAATGATTTGCAACCCGCATCTGGTATAGTCACACGACAACTGGGTCAAGCCATGGTGGAAATTACCGACTTGAATAATGCTACTCTGCACAAACGACACGTGGACCAAATCCACTTCAAATCATCCACGGACCAGCGGCATCAAGAGACAAGCGAGGGCGACAGTTAGTTGCATATCCCATCAGCACGACCGACGGAGCCGCATGAAACACATGTTCAGAAACAACCAATCGAAACACAAGGACACCGCCAGGAACAGGCGGAGCCAACGATTGCAGTCCGCAGGTCTAGCCGTCAAGCGAGCCAGATTGATGAGGCACTCTTGAGGGAAGAGAGTTGTGGTGATCCAGACTTCCGNGACCACCATCCATGCACGACTAGGTACAGTTTCATGTCATCCAATCACCGTTCAGGAACCTCGACCAATGGTACACTGGCGAACGTGACATCCAAGTTAGTACATATGATGCGTCGGCGCAAACGGTTACGTAATTGGACGACGGCCCTTCAACCAATCATATGAGATATTTCCTTCTATAAAACATGCTCTAATTCTATCAATAAATATAAGCATTTGCTGCTATCAATTTCTCGTGTGGTTCATTGGTGTCCGCAGTTTGGGTTGGAGCCAATTCAGTTCTGAGCAGTAGAGTACGGATTCTCGTATACCTAAATTCAATTTTTTTGGCGCGCGCTTCGATTTTCACGTGAGCCCAAGTTTTTTGTTTACATATATGTTCATTTAGACTATTTATTATATACTTATTGTCTCTGTAGGTGCTTAGGCATTTGTTTACCCAACTGCAATATACATTGCATTCCTAGATGTAAAACCTACCGGTTTCGTCATCTCAGCCTATCGCCCCACCCCACCTTGCTCTATAAATATAGACTGGTCCCACCCCTTGGATTACCAGTTTATTAACCTAACAATCGTAGATTGACTGCGTTACACCACTAGAAGCGAGTAACAAGTTATCGCTGCGAATCCCGACAAAATCTCGTTGCGAGCTCCCTCTTATTTTATTCTAACAGCATGCAGCGCCTCACTGCAGAGCGCCTAAATCTCAGGCTAATAGACGTGCACCCCGATCGGGCCATTCCTCTGCTCCTCTTAACAATTGCTCCGTCCCCTAGTTGACGTGTACAGTGACGCTTTCAAACTATCCTCTAAGATTGACAGTAGTATCACTAATCTTACCAATAGACTGGAGTCGCTTGAACAGATAGTCTCGACTCTAGCTCCACTGATCTTTCTAATAGAACCTCTATCTCAACCTTTGGGCAACCTTACCCACTCAGGGATGTTGCTTGATTCTATCGCCTCTGAAATCTTTAGGCGCATCTCAAACTCAAAAAATGCAGTTGTCTTTAATGTCCCAGATAAAATTCCCCTGGCTCAAATAAAGATTATCATCTTAAAAGCTTCAAACATGGACAACTACCCTTCCAACTGCATTCGACTCCGTAAAAAATCCCAGTGGAACTCCTGTCCCCTTCTGTTCCAATTCCCCAACGGATTATTAGCCAAGGAATCCATTTCTAAAAGATACACCATTGCCAAAAATACCACCTTTAAAACTATAAAAAATTTTCTCGATCAGACCCCGCTCCAAAGAGCTACTTAGAATCCTACCACGAGAAAATTTGAGAGGCAGAGGGCTTCCACTTTGCCCGATTCTACCCCTCCTAGAATAAGCCCACCTGTACCCTCCTCCTCCCGAAATCCTTTGTCCTCAAATATCGATTTCGATGCTCTCTCCTC